AAAAAAAAAGGAAAACATACATTTTTTTTATAAACTGATGAAACATCAACCAAATGCAATGTATAAACTCTACTTGGGTATTGAAAAAAACACTTGAGATAAAGTAAAATTGAACATAAAGTTGTAATCAGGTCATATTAAGAGATTATTGTTCTCTGTCATGTTTGAGATGTTACAATTGTATGGTGTTATATTTTTACTTCCTTAATTGTTAGCTATACATACCTAAATATTATAGGCAAAGTGTATTATCTTAGGTTTGTTTTAAAATACTCAGGAATTTCTAAGTTGGTGGGAACAAAGGAACAATACCTGCAGAAAAATGCTGGTTATCAAAGCTTGGTGACAAGGTCATTCTTATTCTTTATATTGTTTTGGGGTTTTTTTTCTGATTTGAGCATATTTAACTATATCTATATTAAAATTTACTTTTTAAATGATGATTACTGATACTGAGCTAATTATGTTATTTGTACTCAATAGATGGTAGCCATTATTACAGTTGAAAGAAAGTGGGTTGAAAAACAAAGCTGGAGAAATGGGTTCAAACTACCACCAAATGAAAAAGCAAATGCAAGTGATCAGAATGAAGAAAAAGAGTAAGATGGGTCAGGCCAACACCAGTGACTGGGCAAATGGTCTATGCAAATGCCAAAAATAGAAGACCAATATTTGTGGCTAGTCTATAGCCACCAACTTTTGCTATGAAACTGAACATAACTAAAATTAAGCCCGTATTAAATTTCCACAAACGTTTTACCCTCTACTGTTCCATGTTTTAGTTAATGACACAATTCAGAAATGTAGGAATTAACCCCAAATCTCTTTTCCCTTTACCTCTTACTCCTCTTGGATTTCTCACCTATGTATCTCTTAAATCTATTCACTTATTTTCATCTCAGGGATCATCACTCTGGTCCAAGCAACATCATTTCTTGCCTGGTTTATTCCAATAATCTCCTGACAATTATTTCTACATCTACTCCCGTTCCCACCCCCACATCTGTTCTCACCTCAGCAGCTTGAGTGAACTGGTTTACATGTGTATGTGGTTACATCAAAACTCTACTTCAAACCCTTTAATGACTATGAACTTGTCTATGTACACACCTTCCTACTTATATCACATCTGTACTGCTTTCAGGCTATCGCCACCTTATCTGACCTCAGGTTCTTTGGATATGCCATGCTGTCTCCACTTTGGAGCCTTTGTACATGGCATTTCCTCTTCTGGGGAAGCTTACACTCCCACTGTTCTCTTCACCAAACAGACTTCTACTAATCCTTCAGATGTCACTTGAAATGTCACTTCTCCCAGAAAACTTTCCATGGCTATCCTTCATGAGAATAGATAGACTCCTCTGCCATCTTCCCTCATAGCCCTCTAATTTTCTTTTACACCAACTAAAAAAGTCATGTAATCCAGAAAGAAAGGCTGTAAAATATACAGTTATAAATATTATTAAAAATTACTAAAATTAAAATAATATTTAAATAAACTATATAGCATTCCCATCTCAGCATATGCCTAATAGTTGAAGTTTGGTAAGTACTTACATACTTTGAACCCCTAATTCTAGGTAATAGAATATTGCATTAACTCTGTGTTAGGCCAGACAATAATCTCCCAGGGTAAAATAGGATACTTCCAAATCCTGTAATCTGGAGACACCCAAAGAATATACCTCTAGAGTAGAGGAACCAGTCTACATGGGTTTGGATATAAGGAACATGGGACGGTTATACATGTGGGCCAAATGAGAGAGTGGCCTATATTGGGGAGGAATGAAGAGGTCTATCAATTTAAGGAAATCAACTCTGTGCAGGAAATCAAGAAGACAAAGTACATTTTAGTCATTCCTCTAAG